GAAGTGGAGTCAATCTGGGTGTTCTAAGAGTCTGAGGACCGGGAAAGAGGAGATCTACTAGCCTCGTCCTGCAAAGGTGACAGCGCCAGCGGATCTGCCTTCTTTCGAAAATGACATGAATTTGGAAGACTGGCTGAGAGCTGCTAAATTCAACCTCCAACCCTATTCCCAGTGCCAAAGAATGCCCCTGATCCTTCGCGCTCTACCCCATGATTTATTTTGGCAGCGGTCGACGCCGGCATCACCCACGATACCAAAAATGATCAATGCTGCGATAAGTTGACTCTACTTGTCATCACTCGGGAAGAACAAAGTCTTGCCAGAGATTTCTTCCCTTATTTCCAAAAAGCTGATGAGAATGATGAAGAGTATGCTAAAAACTAATGAGTTGTTCTAAAAAGACCTAGCCAAATGAGCAGTATTACTTGGCACAATCTTTCCTTACAGAGTAAGAAGTTATCTGCTCTACTTCTGCAACAAAACTCTCTAGCCGACTGCATTCTACTTCCTTTAAGCCTCTAAACAATACTCTGTATGATCAAATTAACTACAGCATCCTCGGAGCATGCGTTATAGCTCATTTGGTTGTCAAAACTGTCTGAGTGTGGAAATATTTTGAGCAGATGCAACATCCTTTTGGATTTTATTGGAATGTAGTTTACCCTTAGCACTCCCTGGATCCACCCAACATGCGTAACTGAATCTGTCCATTGATCCCACATTTTTTACAGACTCATTTCTACTGGAAGCCTCTTAAATTACTTTACATGTACGGGCCTATAAACCAGATTCTGGTGGAATAATGCACATGAATTGGGAATAATAATTTTAAAAATTAGCAATGTGACTGTTCTGTAAATTAATTAATCTGGTCACCACTGACTGCTGCCAGCACCCCGATTATCTGTACAAAATACGCATGATTTCAATAATGCTTATTCGAAAGATCTTACTTTTCTGCTATGACAATAGTTGAGCTAGTCAACATTAGTGAAGGGCTTTAAATAAAATCGAAATGACTCAAGGGTTGACTAATTTCCCCTGAAAAGGACGAATGCATTGCCCATAGCACCTCAGAAATTTGTGCTAAGTGTCAGTGCTTGTGCAGCATTTCATGCAACCCAAGAATCAACGAGACGTTTCGTTCTTGCTGGTGGCTTCAAGCTTGCATGTGAAACTAGAAAAGTGCTGTGCAATTGTGCAAAACACCTGTTCCAACCTATTGGGACAACTTCTCCTCTGTAAGAAATTGAACGACCCTCAGACATGACTCGTGGATGGCAATCAAAACAAAGTCATTTTAAATATTCTTCTACCCATTCTACACATGAGGGAAATCGGACACACACAGGCAACAATCCCGCTGAGACACTCGTAGGCAAGACTTAAATCAAACCACATTTTGGTGTGCGGAATGCCCCTTTGCCTTGGCCCAGTCGTTTTACTTGCACCATAATGAAGTAGGCAAAGACCAGCATTACTCAAAAGGCGCCAACCCCTTCCACCTGCCAGATTCGGCACTGAAGCGGAGGCAGTGGCACTGGCCAATTCGACACCCTCAGGCCTGGCAGGCTACATGTTTTCGCGTGAGGTGGGCCAATGCTGGCGCGTGGCGGAGGCGATGGAAGCGGGTCTGGTGGGGGTGAACGCAGGTGTCGTAAGCACACCAGAGGCTCCATTTGGTGGAGTCAAGCACTCCGGCATTGGCCACGAGGGTGGACCGGGCGCGCTGAAGGAATTCATGAACACAAAGTACATGTGCTGGGCTGGTCTCGATTAGACCTTCCAAATTGTGTCCCCTCCCTTCCTTTCCAACTGTTCATTCAATTCTGTAGTGTTTTGATATTGCTCTGCACTAGAATTGTCGTGCCTATCCTTGCCTCGTGGATTCAGTATTTACACTGCCTTCTGTCCGGTTTTTCAATTTCTTTGGAAGGTCGTAATGGACGAGGTCTGCCCCTTTGTCTCAGTATTTGTTTTGTCCCTAAATGCATCACTTTCCTTTACTTTTTCTACTATTCCACTTTTGGCTCCCAATCAGGCGACTTTGGGTGGCATCCGTTTCCACTTGAAGACTGTGACAGTTGTAAGAGCAAAGCGTTAGTAAGTGAAGTGCGTCAGTGGAGTCTGCTTTCTGCTGCGTTAATTAAGATCGCTGTTGTTTTGATTGCCATTTTGGTGCTATGGAGTCCTTTTCATGTCTGTTGTCTCCTAGTCATTCTACAGGTTAATGGAAAATCTCCCATACTGATAAGTTTTCTTTGGATCTGCGAGATAATTTGAGGCACTACATTGGTAGCAGCAGTCGGTGAATGTGATCCAAATTGGCGCAAAGCGTAAATTTTGTTCAAAAAAGAAGGAAGTCACCTGCTGTGGATGAATGAGGCTACATACACTTCCAAAAGAAGGGTGAGTTCTCTAGCTTCTGGTCCTGCCTACATGAGAGTAAGTCTTAGAGTCCAGTATAAATGTAATAAATATTTCTGGAAAAAGGCGCGGGAATTTTGCAAAGATTTGATAGCCCTGTAAAGGCATGGGTTTCCATTTCCTAGAAATGTCACTCCTTTATACAATTTGTCTTGTAAAAGAATCCAAGCCATTTCCATAGTGTATACTGCCTCTACAGGAATAAGTAGAATTCACTACTTCGTCTTCCAATTACAATGACTAGTGACGCCCAAAGTATGATTCAGGAAAGGCTTGTGGATAAGGCTCATAAGAGGAAAGGAAAAATGCTATTAAATCCACACATGTCATACCTGCCTTTCTGCAACGCCGACTTTTCAGAAGCTTGTATCTTTCGTTGCTATGGTGCATGGGTAAGCCAAAATTAGCCTTCTTTCAATTGAGTATAACTAAACTCTTCTTCAGAAATGAGTGGTAGGGCTACATCTGACATCAGTCGCTGAATATTACAGACGAAATCCTGTCTAGCACGATAAAAAATAATCTTCTTATAAGCATTACTTTGCTTTTGTCAAAGTACAAAATAATTGTTAGCGAATTGCTCTGTACAATAGCACCAATTCACCTAAATGCTCTCTTCTCCTCAACTATCATCTTTCTATTTGTCATTTTTGCCAGATATTGTCCCATCGCCGGTAGGTAGTCGAACCATCTACCACCGTTTAGGTGAAGACGTCAATCAACCTGAAAATGGCCTGATTTTCCTGGATTATATGCACTTGGCTAACCTATCCAACTTGTAGAGTGTTCATAAACGAGATCCTGGTTATTTTTTTTGAGAATTAGAGGACATTAATTTCTTCATTACGTGAGGCAAGGCATAACTGATTTTTAATCAGCAGCTTTGGAGTTGATAACCCAAACCTAAAAAAGATCTGCTTATAAATATCTCTTTACCCATCTAATCACCGAGGAGTCCCATTGCTACCATTGTAAAATTGTGGCAAGAATAATTTAAATTTACTTTTTCTGGGAAGCGAATAATCTCTTTGTCCTGAAACACAGTGCTAGTGATTATACAATGGACATTCTGCCACGTCAACAAATTTGTACAGTCGCTCGGTTTCTCTGATTACCCAATGTCACGGCCAGCTTAGGCTTTGAATGTTCCACCAATCGGTTTTGAGATAAGGTGAAGGCCAAGGCCAATTAAAACACCTGAAAACGTAGGGATGGGACTATCCCTTATCTTATTCGCAAAAAGTTGATTGCAATGTGGAAAATAGGAAACAATTTAAAAACCCAGAGGTTGGAAATGCCTCAGCTAGATGGCAGTGCAGGGTGACAAGGAGGAGCAGCTAGATCTTTTTGGCTGTCTTCACTATTTTATGAAGAACTTGCGCCTTTGACTTTTACCTTCTCATTTCATTGGCATTTAATTGGCATAGAGTTTTTCTTTTATACTTTTACTAACACTTTATCATTGTCGCACTCGGACCCTAGGCAGCTATGGTTGACTAGAGCACAGCTAATGCCAAACAACCGAATTCATCCAACACACCGTTCAGTTAATCAAAGTATGATCCAGATTTATGATAACTATTTGGCATTATAATCAAAACAATTTGAAAGTTACCTTTAGCCCAAGGACTCTTAAAGTTCTAACTTAAAATATTTTGTCACATACTAAAACAAATTTGGTCATTTTAAAGCAAATTTATTATGACGCCTTTGTAGCATTTGAATACATCTGGTATACCAAATTACAAAATATTATGCAAAAGGTACAAACCTATTTCATTCACTTCTCCTAATCCATTAAACTGTGGCCATTTCCAAGTTGTCAAAGCTAGCCTTGACAAGAATAGTGAATGCAAAATGCAAATTTGCCTATTCAAGGTATGAAAATGCCTCACAGGTTTATAAATTGTGCATAGTTTTGCGGGAAATATACCTTATTGGGGTTATTTTCATTAGCAGCATTGGTTCCTTTATCGCCTTTTTTTCCAGTTCTTTCGTACATTTGCTAATCTTCCTCAAATCCTAGATTATTTACAGTAACTAGAGTACGTTAACAAGTAGGAGTCATTCTCCTCAATGAATGGTTGAATAGGGAGGTAATTGAAGTGGCAATGACTATCTTCTCAAAAATGTCAAAAGGAGGTTCTTTTTTCTTTTATTCCATTTATTCCCTCCTCAAACATGCAACTCGTGATTCCAAATCTAAATGATATCTGTTTCTTTTTTCATATCCTTCCCTCCGTCAGCGTGTCCACGTAAGCTTGTCCATTCCTACGCATATCTCCGTCGCCACCCTAATGCCATTGTGCTCCATTTCTGGCTCTTCACTCAAAACCGCACCAGTACCTTCAAACGTTTGTATCTTCATTCCGTCTACATGATAAGGATGTCTTGTACTGTAGAAAAGGCTCCTGTTTCAGTCACCTACCAGTTTGATCATTCGCGCTCAATTTCTTAGTATCGTGGAAGGTCTCAAATGTCTCACTATCAATCGGCCCTTCTGATTAGCCAATATCACGTGCATATAGTCTAGGCTTTCAATGTTTCTTCAAGCACTTTGAGACCGATGCCAGCATAAAACCCACTAGCATACTATGAATGGGTGGGAGTGGGACCGCTTCTTGTCCCCATTAGTCGGCCACCGTTCACGTACCCACATCGTCCCTTCACCTTGCTCGCCTCTGATGAAACCGATGGTCTCTGTATTGAAGACCTCATCTCTCGCTTCTATTTTGGTAGCCAATTCAACAAGGTTCAAGCTCACGCTCTTGATCAACAGTTCATTGGACTCTCACTCTACATTCACACATAATGACGCCCGTAAGGGTGGGCAGGGCGCCGCATTTGTAACGATGGTGAACGAACCAGATTTAAATGAATTGTGTTGCTGATTTCATTGAGTGGGTGCATATGTAGGTATGTGGCAAAAAATGGTTTTATAGAATCCACATTCGCTATTGGAAATTAGCTCCATCATGTGTATTTTGCTAAGCCAGTTAACCAAGTGCTGCAACGAAACCAGAGAAGACAACTTAAGATGCAGATTTTTCTACTAAATTTAAAGTAAGTTATCTGCAGCGTAAAGAATTGCATCGCATTCCACTTTCCAGAAGCCAGAAATGACTTGGTGAGGCGATAGACCAAGGTGTCAAGGAGTAAAAGCGTTTGGTTACTAGCCTTCCCGCTTGTTTTACTGTTATTTTTCACTTTTAGGCCTTTTGCCTTCCCATCCTCAGTGAAGTTTTATTGTCATAAAGCAACCATTATAAAATTTCACCAACAACTCATAGTCTTCAGACTCAAGCCTTACAAATCCTGCAAGAAGGACTGAGCACCGCAAGTGCTGGACAACCAAATTCACCTTCAAGTTGATAATTTGATGAAATGCTCAATTCATATTTATTTTGAATATCAAATACTTATAATAATTCAAAAGTTCATTCCTAAGAAATTACACAATGTTAAAATTGGGCTTTTTTAAACAAGTTTGGCTCAGTTTAACAATACTAAACTTCATTTTTGTGGCATATTCTTAACAGATGAATTGGTAAAAAGCATATTTCCATTGTTTTTACCTCTTTTTTCTGCCAAACTATGCTCATTTCGATGTTACCAAGGCAAATCATGGAAAGGGTAGTGAATGTGAAAATGTAAATTTGCCTATCAATGGCATAATTCATGGCACAGGAGTACAAAGCGTTGATAATTTTCCTGATGTACTATGCGTCCTTAAGAGAATTTTCACGAGCATCATTGGTTTCTTCGTCTTTTCCTTACCTATTGTTCCACACATTGCCAGTCTTCTTTGGGTACTTGGTTGTCTGCAGTAAGTAGAGTATCTCCACAACCGAGAGTCATTCTCTTCTCACTACCAAACGAAAAAGCTTAATAAAAGGGAGAAGATGACCTGATGGTATATGAGCATAACTGCAACCCGAACTAACTAATCTCCTTGCTGGTATCCCTTGTTACACCTTCAGGCCTGACTTCGGATGTGCCGCTGTGATGGAATAAATTCGCCTCTTGCCTAACTGTGCAATCCTTTCAGCCATCAGCACCTGCACTCCATGATAAATCACGATCATCTGTCAGTTGTCAATCACTTCACCTTTTTCAATACAACGCCCTAGAATATTTGCCTATCAGCTGGAGGTCAGAAAATAATTTGTCCTATTTACATTGTATCGTTTACTAAATGCCAATTTCTTTTCCCTTAAGTTTGACATGTAGAACAGAGATAGCTGAAGCATTTGAAGTCGAAGAATAATTTTAAGTCACTTCCAGGATAATTATAGAGGAATATGGTCGCGATATCAACCACATAATAAGATGCAGCGCAACCAGTATTCCTCGAAGCCTTTATAATTACACTGACACAAGAAGGAGATTTGTCATTATCCCAGAGGTTAGCTGAGATGCCAGAGGCATGGTTGGAGGGCGATGCAGCTGGGTGAAGTGAGAGTTAGCGAGAATAACGCGAACCTTTATTAAAGGGTGTTGGCAAATCCAAATCACTGTAATTTATGGTACAAAGAGATTTTGAATAAGTGCTCGAGCCTGTGAATTGCAGTGTGTAAGGAGATTCTGGAGATTATTTAAAGAAGATGGATAGTTAATGGTATTGAACAATTTAAATGCACTTTAACCAAAATGAGCCATGGATCTAATTAAGTGTAGAGCTCTGGATATCAAAAGATTTGCAGTTCAGAATTCCTCTTCATTAAAAGATGAAAAGGTTAAAATTCGCTTTGCCTAGATATCGAAATGGGCCACTTATATTTTTTAGAATTTTAAAGGAGATCCTTTACTTCAAAATACGCCTATTATCCTGCAAATTGATTTGGTACAGAACACCTAATTGAGCTAATTTCCAGCGGTTAACGTGAATTTGATAACCGATCTCTTTGCCACATATTCAACCACCCATACATGCAATGATTTAAGTGCTGCTAATTATTTGGGCCGAAGTGGTTCGCCGTCGCCACAAATGCAGCACCCCATTCACGCTGGAAGGAGTCATAATATGTAAACGTTAATTGTGAGTGCCATAAACTGTTGATTGTGTGCGTGAGCTTAGACCCTGTCAAATGGCCAAACCGAAAAGACGGGAGATATCTTTAATATGAAGACCTGCGCAGCCGACAGGTGTGAGCTAGCTAGGGAAATAGCGTGCGTTCACGTGACTACTGATCTTGGTGTTAGCCATGACATTGACCTCAGGGGGATTGGAAACGTAGTCAAAGCCTCTGCCTATCTGTCTGCGATAGTGGGCAATCTGAGGTTCCGATTGATTGGCCGAGTTTCGAGAAGTTCCAAATTGTCTGGATTTTTGGCACTGGATTTTGGTTTTTTGTGGTTTTAGACCTCCCCAGCATATGGGCAGGATAGGATTGTGAGCCTATGAGGGTGTTGATGCTGTATTAAGTAAAAGACCCGGAATGAGGCACAATAGCATAAGGATGGCGACGGACATTCACGCAGAGACTGGCAAGTTCACCTAGCCAAACAAATAACCCATAATCCTTCTGTTACAAGATAACAACAATGTATTTAGAAGTGTAAAGCACCAAGTTTTACGTTAAATTTGGCCATATTACTAACAAGCTGATTTTAAATCACAAATCCTTAAATCACTGTCCTCTTCTTTAGTACCCAGGCAAATGAAGAATCGTGACAGTGGTACATTCCAATTAACTGGCTGATATTCCGTGACTTACAAGTAGGTAAAAATCGTAGAGATATACTTTATTTTTCGAACTAATTTTTGATAGATTGTGGTGATTTCTACATCAGCAAGGTAATACAAGACAAACAGGAGGATCACAAGCGCACGTACCCTGAAACACTCATAAGTTGTAACAAAATTTAACAGATTTAAGGAGGTTTTGAAGGGTCAGGGAAGTTTCCTACATGGCCAAAACTGCTTGACGTATTCATTTAGGCAAGAATCTTTCCCAAACTACTATCTGAATGTAGTTGAAAATACGCAATAAAGAGGGCCTAAAAAGCAGTTTTGAAACCGTAATTTCAAAATATTATTGACAAGAGTTAAAAATCAAATCATCTAAAAAAACGTAATTTTTTTTCAACTAAAGCAATGCAAATATTTTTTTCCTAAAATATATAATAGTCCTGAGATTAAGACATAATTTGCTTTCGTCATGTTTACCCATCCAGTTAGAGGCAAATTTAAAGGCGGTGTGTAGCTTGTGAAAGAAAGGATTCTAGGGATGAAAAATTATTCTACTTTTGGAGATTTAAAAGGAAATACAGCAGCAGAGAAAACAGGGGATTAAAAGATGAGCATTTTTAGTTGACTTCGAGGTGTTTTTTTCAGGCAAATCACCATAAAAATATGCTAAAGCTAATGGTAAATCGAGTTCACCATAGTGAGGACAACATTCACAAGACTGGGCCAAAGTGTTTTAATGTTTCAGAGGTAGAATTAATATGGTTTACTATTGCTTTTGTTGGTTCTAAAAAGGTGACTCGATTTTCAATAACTTGCTCGAGTTCATACAAGTGTTTAAACCCAAGGGTTATAAGGCATAAGTAGCAGGCTACTCTAGGAGCACTTCTTCCACCTGCGGCATTTTCCTCTAAATCCAAGTCTTCTTATAGAATAGCAGTTGGGAATGATGGGTGCGATTGCGGTTTATCTGTTATACGGGTTAATTTTGCCTCCGTTCAAGTTTTCTAAAACACCTCTTACCTTTGCTGTGCTTCATTCGGACGAAGGCGCAATTGGAGAAGGCACCGCCTTAATGGATCACTTTTTCGCATGAAGCATTAAAATAAGTTGTAGACTTATATTGAGCACACAAATAAAAAAACCGAGGTGGCTAAGGCTGTTCTGGATATGATAGATATTTTGGTGTCCATGTAGCCTAAGGTCAGCAGTGAGTGGATCTGGTGGAGGAAATAAAAGATTTTTGGCATTTTTCCTACACTGCAATGGATTTCCCCTCTCCCACTACAAATCAGTCAGTCAACTAGTTAGTAATTAAGCCATGTAAAATGCACAGTGCCTTTTAAATCTGTTCATGAAAGAAGTGATTAATGAGTTAGCCGTCCTTAAAGCCTTCTCCCATTTGATAATGCATGTTGGTGGAACCATTAGCTCACTAATCTTAACAACTTGACCTTTTTTGTTGATGTAAGTGGAGACCAGCAGCTTCTTTGCACCCTAACCCCAAATAAAAGGCACATATATTTCTACTCCTCAGGTTTTTACGAAGTGAGGTTCTTCTTAGATATAGTGCGCCAAACCAAATGATCAGTATCGTTTTTTAGTGAAACACTGGTATTGCATGTCAACATTTCCTACAACATTTATAAGCTCGTCTGATGATTCGTAAAATCTGGGATCGTGTCCATTAGTCCCCAGGGAGAGGTAATTAGTACAGAACGCAACAAATCATATAAAAATCAAGTTTGTTTCCTTTTTGATCAAGATCTGATTTAATTAATTTTTCTAATTGTAAAATCTCACAAAATCAACAAGCATTGGATGTAGCTAAGATAACTCTTCTACATTCCCTTAGAAATCATCAAAATGAGTGAATTTGGTGATCTCTGCAAAATATTATCTAAAAATATCAAACGCAAATGGTATTTTCTACCTAAAATTGCCATTTTTTAAACATTGGGTCTCATTCACGTATAAGCTCTGAACGAATTCAGATGTGGAGAGCTCAAAAGAATGACTGTCAAGAGGGATTTGATGATGGAAGAAAGGAGATTTTGTGGAGAAGTGTGCAACGATTTGACTAATAGGCGGCTGCAAACCCGACACGGGAATTACAATCAAAGTGGGATATTTTATGGAAAAAATCCATTAAAATTGAACAGAATACCTTCCACCCCAGGTGATTAACGTCTGCTTTCATTAATTAAAGCTAATTTCATATTTGAATTGAATTTGCCATAAAAACTCTTAGATTCTATTAATCACCTACAATTGGTTTTGAAGGCTGAATGTAGAAATAAGTGGATTTCCTGCCTCTAAAATATTCTTGAGAAAGTATTATGCCTGAAAAAAGGGAAAAGGAAACGAAAGGAAGGGTGCAACTACGGTACTAAAGACATTGTTCAATAACAAAAAGATGTAGTTTAGTCAAAAGGTCATTGCTATTTTTCTGAAAGTACCTGAAATACTGGCTTGGTGGAAAGGTGACACCATAACGCTTCCTTTCCTATTTTGATGCACTAGGGCTGGAGTTTGTGCACAATGCGGCCTTCTCTATCTCCTACTTTTGTCTTTGTAGAGACTATTTTCGCCATTTTTTGATCACTTAAATAAGAGGTTTCTATAGACCAGAAGCGAGAATATTCTAAAAACCGGCAAATTACTTCTGCGACCACAGTGCCGCATCAAATGATGGATCATACAAAAGACCCAAGTGAGGCAATAGAAGTATTAACTAGCAAGCAGGTGACCAATGATAATTAAAATTAGTAATCTCCTCACAATGGAAGGTCTTCACATGGAAAATGGAAAATAATGCAATGTAATACTATGGCTATTTTTGAACTCGTCGTTTGGGGTTTAAAGGCACTTAAGGCTCCCCTCTGTACTTCTGCTGGGTGCCATGGCCCCTGGGATATGCCAGCAGCCTTTTAGTCCTTCAGTATGTCTACATTGCTTTTACTGTCTTTCGTCTCCTAGAAAGACGTAACGGGCAACAGTAAAATAATTTTTTGATAACAGCACCCTGGTTATAAAATTCTGTACATATTTACAATGAAAAATTTCTAGCTTTTTTGGCTAGATTTGAGCTCTGCCAAACAATACAAGGCCAATCCATAAGATGGTTAATCAAGTGTTCGTGTGAAGCATCTCATCCCTTCTCCGAAGTCGTAATGAGCCGTAGTGGCAGTGAGGAGGTACAATACTTACCAACTCACAGTAGGTCTAAAAGGCTACTAGTGTGGTCCAAAGTACATCCCATAGGAAAACAAGTGCTCACGTAGTTACACACTTACAATGAAAAATATTAAATCACAAATAAAACGAGGGTTTTTACTCAACAGTGCTATGTTGATCTGCTACCTCTTCAATAGTAGAGTAAACACTTTCATCTGTGATGTATGCCTCACCAACTTACTTGAAATCATTAAGTAATAACTCACCAACACTTTACATTTGTTCTCATCCTTTTTTCCAGCTTTGCTTGCAAAAAAACAATTTAAGAACCAACTGAATTGACTTTTGTCAACACCGGGGTGTGCAGTTTGCAATTTAATGGTTATTTTACCAACTTCGTAAACGAATCAGTGTGCGTCTTATTGGTAGATTAAATAAGGAGAATAGAGGAAAGCTACTCAATGAAGAGGAAACCCAATTATCGTTTCTTCGTAAGAAGCGTTTTTGTCAAGCACCAAACATTAGGTTTGTGCTTCGTGAGTGAACCAAGTAATGTCAGTTCCCTATCCACTTATTTAACGTCTCTTATTATACGAGTGTTTGCTTGAAAAAGGCTTTTAAATTCAAGCTTCTTAATTTTTTCCTAACCTTTGTGTGCAGTTAGTATCCAACAGATATACGGACAAAATGATAAAGTGAAGATCTTGTTACCATCATTCTGGTTGAGAAAAATAGCAATCAATTTTTATAGTTATCAGTTCTGGCAATTTTTGATAAAAGACGAATACCTTTTAAACAATACTAAGGAACGGCATATATTTAGTTGCCTTTATCAAACGACTAACATCACAGCCTATTATTGTTTGTCCTTTAGTTGTCCAGCATTGGATAAATGCATTAGCGATCGACTGCAGAATCGGAGGATGCTCTACTCACTCATATTTACCCAAAAAGCTTTCCACTTTTAAGACTTCACCTAAAAATTTTTTTCGTAAATCACTTTAAATTTTACTTAACATATTGAAAGTCCTTTTTGGCTCGCCTTTGTGATGCCAAAAATTGCACAGTTCATCAATGGATAGAATTGCTCAGCAATTTGCGGATTTGGTATTCTACTACGTTAAGGTTATTTTTTACTTTATTATCGTAGGTAAATTGAAAATGTGCCGCCACCTTGACAGGTTAGACTATTATAGTGTTTTTTAGGGCTTGCTTTATTTTGGAAGAGACCCACCTTAATCGTATTAGGGCAGCAAATTCTGTTCTTAGATGTCGTAGCCAAAACGGTTGAGGAGTAAAAAGAATTTTTCCGTCTGTGTTTATCTGGCTGATTGTTGATGTTTGCGCCATCTGGCAAGCATAAACACTTCTTTTTAAGGCAAATCTGCACGCATTCCTTCCAACTTGTGGTACCTTTTTGGCCAAAGTCACGTCAGTTCTGAAGTGATAACTTTGAAGAGAATACTACAACTTTAGAAGACAAAATATTTCTTTATATTTTTATCTAGCAGAGATTGGTACTT